CCCCCCCCCCCCCCCCCCCAACCCTCTCCACTTTGAGAGTGTTATTTCTCCCCCGACTCTCGCTTTAAGGTAAAAACCCTAAGGTTCGGAAAAGGCGCCCCCCCTTTCTCGCGCTTTACAATTTCAGTTTTTGGGGCACCCCCCCCCCCCCCCCGCCTCCTTCTTCCATACCCCCTAATTATTATTTTCCATCTTGCCACGACCGACAATCATGAGAAACATTATATCTAGAATCTGGATATTTATCTGAACCAAACTTCTTTTTTTTTTTTTTTGGTTCGTAAATGGCAAATTACCCTCAATATTAGTATCGGTACCGGGTTGGCTACCTCAATTTTCTGTGTATTTGTATAACTTATGTACATTGGTTTATTTTTTAAAATGAAACTTTTTGTTCCTAAATGGGAAAAGTTGTCGCAGTAACTTACCAAAATCACTAAAATTTCATGATCTCTTGTTCTTTTATTCACTGAAGGAGAATTAAAACAAATTTCTCCCTACAAGATATAATATGAGGTTGAATGTGCCAACTCCCCCCCCCCCCCCTTTTTATTCGATACCACAGAGCACGAAAAATCTTGCATATTATATTTTCTCCTAAATCTACTAAAGTTACTAATGAGACAGGAACTAGACGCCTTTTCTAACAATAATAAAGTATTATTTTTACGATGATAATGATGATGATAATGATGATGATGATGATGATGCTGATGATGATGCTGATTTTTTTGGGGGCCTGACGGACTTCACGAAGAAATCTTCGAGCGAGAGCGAGGCTCTTTTTCGGTTCCATTGTCAATATGCTTAGCGGCACCTCCACTCGTCCAAATAACTCCATTCGAATTGCCATTGTTCCTGGACATTCAAACATATCAGTCCCCGTAGGACTATGCGATTGTGCGGCCTTGGCGTAATTCTGCAACGCTTGCATAATTTTGGATTTTCCCCGTTTTTTCCCGTTTTTCCCCCGTTTTTTTCACAAAAAAATTAATAATTAACGCCTCATCATGTGACTGAAGGGACGTAATCACAGTAATAAGTCTCATTTAAGTGAAAAGTTGGTTATTTCCCTTGTTAGAAGATCTTGATTATAATGGATTGTGATTTTGTTTCTTGAGCATGTTCAATTTTTCAATCCATCAAAAGTTGTTGTTCTCATGTCTGCTGATGTTTTATGTTTGACAGGTGTCCCTGGTTTTAGTAATGTGCCAGTATCAGAGGTCCAGATGTCCTTTTTAAAATTAAAAAAAAAACATTTTTCTTTCCTCTATAGATCTAGATTCTAGATCTAGATCTAGATCTACAGCTGAAAGTTACAGAGATTATTATTATTATTATTATTTTATTTATTTTTTTTTTTTACTGATGTGTGTTGTTTTCTTTTCCAAATTCACAACAAATTACTGATACTGATATGTTCTGTTTTCAATTTTTCTGTACATAAAACATGAAAATCATGAAACTTCGTGTTGAAAAAGTGCAAAACATGTCGCGAATGGTGTTACGCTAACTTGCATAATTTTTACATAATTTTGCTTTTTTGTGCATAATTTGGCCTTCTAAATTTGCATAATTCTACGGGGACAGACATATGTTTGACATCCTCCTTTTCATGGCAGTATCTTCGGCAACATGGGCTGAGCTCTTCATTTACAGTTTTTTTTATACCATCTTAAACTTCAATGATGGTCCGACCGCAGTCTCGCTCTGGTCTCATCGAGATTTGATAGATTTTTGTTTCCGCTTATAGGAGTACCCAGAATACACATCTTCCAGGTGCTGGTACTTAGTTCTACATGGTGGGTCTCTGATTTCTCTCTTGATTATTGGAAAGACTCCTCTGTATGTCGTTGGTCGTCTGTCTCCTTCGATCTCTCAGGCTTCATTAGCAGCTTGGTCTGCTGCCTCATTTCTTTCTATTCCAACATGGCTTGGAATCCACTGAATTTTTATTGTGGCTCTGATGATGATGATGATGATGATGATGATGATGATGATGATGATGATGATGATGATGATGATGATGATGATGATTATTATTATTATCATTATTATTTTGACTATTATTATTATTATTATTATTATTATTATTATTATTATTATTATTATTATTATTATTATTATTATTTTGAGTTCCCTCAAAGTGGCTTCGTATACAGTTAAACCTTTTGTATAAAATATTCAACTTTAATATTTAAAAAGACTGATAACGTTTTTGTAACAATGTTTCTTCGACTCCTGTTTATGTCACTAATTTACAAGTATTATGTTACGGCGATAGTTATTGTGGTTTATGACGAGTTTATCACGGGTTGTCTGACTTGACTGTTATCAACCTTGAGAGAAGAAATTATGCAAGAATCGGTCCTGAGATTTCGAAACAATGTTAACCATTTTATCTATACCTGTACCTTGACTGTCAGATTTTAATACTATTTTTAGTAAGGTTTTACGGCGCTCGCAACTGCATAAGGTCATATGAGTGCGCAGGACACATTAAAGTTTTTCGGTTGGTAGGAAATTTTGAATTAAGCCTACTCTTATCGATTTAGGATCACCAAAGGATCTTTAACGTGTCCGACTTGCGCACGAGACCCCCGAGATTTTTTGCTCTTATCCGAAAAGGCTAG